AGTGTACCAACAGTGATCCATTCCTTGTGATGGTGCTTCTGTTGGCCCAGAACCTCCTGACATGTTGAAACGATTGCCTCCTTGATACCTTTCCAGTTGCTCTCCATGGTAGTTCCCTCTCCATTGAGTAGATCATGAAAGGCCTGGAACCTGTTGCTGAGGGCTATGTTGAATTTGTTGAGTTTGTCTGCATCTCGAAGAAAGGCCGTATCAAACTTTTGTGATGTTGTCTGCGCCGTTGTCCAGTGCTTCTAGAGTTTTAGTTTCATCTTGGCGACCAGCAAATGATGATCGGATGCTATATCAGCTCCTCTTCTGGTTCTCACATCCTCCATCGTCCTACTGAACTTTTTGTTGATGCAGATATGGTCGATTTGATTCTGTGTAGTGTGATCCGGTGAAATCCAAGTGGCTTTGTGTATGTTTTTGTGTGAGAATATGGTGCCACCTATGACCAGTTTATTGAAGTCACATAGGTTTGCAAATCTCTCACCATTTTCGTTCCTTTCTCCCAGTTCATGTTGTCCCATGACGTCTTCATATCCAGTGTTGTCCTTTCCAACCTTGGCATTGAGATCTCCCATCAAAATTGTCAGGTCCTTGGTTTGGCACTTCTCGAAGATCGATTGCAGCCTATCGTAGAATTGGTCTTTAGCGTCTTCATCGTAGTCGTTGGTAGGCGCATAGCATTGGATGACGTTCATTGTAATGCCCTCTCTCTTTGTTTTGAAGAAGGCTTTGATGATCCTTGGTCCATGAGATTCCCATCCAATTAGTGCATTTTGTGCTTTTCTGGACAGCATCAATGCAACTCCTTGTGTATGTGGGGCATTTTCTTCTTCATGACCGGAGTATAACAGAAGTTCTCCTGAAGACAGTCGTTGTTGTCCAACCTGCGTCCAATGTGTTTCGCTGATTCCAAGCACCTCCAGGTTGTATTTTCTCATTTCTGCAGCAATTTGGAAAACTCTTCCGGTCTCCCACATTGTCCGGACATTCCATGTACGTATAAAAATTGTTGCTCTGGTTGTAAGAAGGTGCATCGGCCTCATGACTTCCGAAGGAACTCGGCTTTTATCATGAGACGTCATAATTATTCCTACTACTCCCAGGACAGAGTTTGAATGGTTTGAATGATTTTTTCTGGTTAGCGTTTTTTTAGCGAGTTGATTTTCTACGGGACGGGGTCGCTAACCCCATGCCCAACCCTCCTCCTTTACTTGGGCTTGGGACCGGCAGCAGCCCCCAGAGGAGCTACAGGCGTAGTTATGTCAACTATTAAGATTTTTTAATTAAAAGTTTATATTTAAACAGAGAAAGAACAGAAAAGTTTGTAGAATCAAATGAATTCATTCTATTATTTTTTGATAACGTATAAATTATTACTTTCCAGTATATAAATATTTATCGATCATAACAATTATAAGCAAAGATGGATAATGGCTAGTAGTGGAATCCAAGAAGCGCATTTCTTCCTACTTGGGACTCGTCAGCTGGATGTAACTGCATCCCAGAGTTGATGTTTAAAATTAATTCAAACTTCACCCCGTTGCACGAACAAGTGGCTATCAAGACTCAGTAGTTAATTGGATAACACGTTAACGTTTGAAGCGAACGGTAGTAGGTTCACGTCGCAGAGTGAACATCAACTCTGAGATGTAGGTACATCCAGCTAATGTGTCTCAAATAGGACAAAGTGGTACGCGTCCTGGATTCCACTACTAGCCACTATCTATCTTTGCTTATAATGCTTATGACTTAAGGCAATATCTAGATAATCCGCACAGTATGCACATATGCCAGTAAGAGACTGACCAGTTGCAGTCCTAAACATCAATTGGAAGATTCAAACAAACAATCCTAAGTGGATCATAACAATGTTTATTCATACACTCCATATTCTGATTATTATTATTATTATTATTAATTTGGTTACATTCGAAATATTTATCTGAACTTCACAAACTAAATTATGCTAAAATTTTGTTATATTAGGTTGTATGCAACTGATGAGAAACTGTGAATTCATTTTATTCTTTAAACCTATTTGTTCTTGCTCCGTTTAATTTAACAAGAGATCTACTCGTATAAAATTTTATATCAGTATAGGGTTGTGGAGATTATTTATCTTTTATTGACATAGTGAATCGATCAATGTTAGACAACCATTGAGAACCTGGAAGTACTGGACGACTATTTCGCCATAATATGGGACTCCTCAACAGTTCTCATCCACAGTCTTGCACGCGGTATTCGAGCTCAGGAAGAAGTGGGCATTCAGTGATTCCAGGTTTACAATGATGGTCTAACATTGATCGATTCATGATCACAAATCAACTTTTATACTCATTACTTTGAATGAGTATTAAATTTCTATTTGAGTATTCAGACTGTAAGTGTAAACGGTTTCCCATACATTTCCCTGGTTCTGTTAAAAGCTATTATACAATATGCGTTCAATGTTAGGTCGGCGATTTTGGGTTCTATCCTCTATGATGGGGCTGTGCATTTGTTTCCAGGTTTTTAATAATTGTCTTAGAGTGATTCGTAATCTCAATGGCATTATGACAATAGTAGATGAAAGTGGGTATCATCCATTTCTTAAGAGAATTATATCTAAAACACAATTATATGAACGGAAGAATATTCTTTTCAATAATTTCTTATCAGGTTCTACAATTATAAATTAATAATCCATAAAAGAAGATTGGCCAAGTTTAAGGCGGAGTACATCAACTTAAGAAACTGTAATATGTGAATCAAGGAGTGTTGTTTATCATATAAAATGAAAATAAGATCGAATCGTTAATGTTTTTGGGATGACTAATATGATGTGTTAACTTGAATCAGTTTATAGGTGAAATCAAATCGTAAAATAAATTATCAGAATATATGCATAGTTGACAAGGGGATGAGAGATAAAGAAATGGGATTACAAATCAGAAATTACGTAATATGTAGAATTATCTAAATTAGGTCAGATATAGTAGATAGGGGGTGGATGATAAGTAAATTTCTCTAAAAGGTTAGCAAGTGTGATAATAATAATAATAATAATAATAATAATAATAATAAAGATAATAAGAATAATGACTGATAAGATGTGTAGATAAACTAAGTTTGAGATATAGAAGTGAACATTAATCAAATTAATGTCACCATATTACAAAATTGATCATTAACAAGTTGACCCTGAAGTTGGCCAGGTTAAAAGGAGCGGCTGTACATATTTCTTTTGGATGCAAAGCTCTGGCTTTTTGATCCGAATAGCAATTGCCCCAGCCGTCTGCAGGATTCTCTGTCTGACAGAATTAGGTAGACTACTATTAACACGATATATTACTGTGAAGGATTGCTCGATGTCGGCTCTATGTCCCGTCTGAACTAAATGGGCTAAAACAGAGCTGTTAACCGTTCTGACTACACCTTTGCTTAACCACACTGGAAGGTGTTCACGAGCCCGAGTATACAAATTCCTAGAACATCTGCCTATATAACTTGCTCCACAGGAGCAGTTGAATTGATAGATACAGAAGGAAGTGGCTAGTCTAGGCAATTTATCTTTCAACGTCGGCGTGATCATTGGGCGTGTGGAAAACATTAGTTGTAGTTTACCTGCATTAAAAGTCCTTTCGATTGATCTTCGTAGTTTCAATCTTACCATTTCACCAGGTGCGTCACCTCTGAATTGTAGACGTATATACAGAGGTTTTTTATTCACAATTAAACATTCTTTATGGTCTCTTTTATTAGTAATGTTTTTATTTATAAATTTCTCCGGGTATCCATTTTCTCTCAGGGTCCTATATAATGCTTTTGTTTCTTCCTCGACCTTATCTTCAGAGCATATGGTCTTAATTCTATAGTGTAATGTCTTAATTAGGTTCCTTTTGTACTGTAGAGGAACAAAACTAAGAAAGTTAGTATACTGACCCGTCCACGATGTTTTCCTGTTTATATTTCTCTTTAGTGAACCGTCTTTTCTCCTTGTAAGGAGAACATCTAGAAAAGCGATCCTACCTCCATTTTCCTCCTCACATGTGAATTTTATAGACGGATGAGTTGTATTGAATAGCTGCAGTGTCTCCATTAAGTCAGTATAGTCGTTACATAGGATGAACGTGTCGTCCATATATCGGCAATAAAGTGAAAACTTTTCAATCTGTTGTGTGAGTGGCCCGTTTTCTAGTTTCGCGAGAAAAATATCAGCCATTATGGGACCTAGAGGTGAACCCATCGTGACACCATCTATTTGTCTGTAGATTTCCCCATTGAATTTGAAATGTACATTCATAGTACATTTTAGTAGTAATTCTTTGATGGTCTCCACAGGGACTGTAGTTACTGCTTCCTATCTATTAAATGAATTTTGGTTGGAATAAACGTTCGTTAATAATACCCATTAATTTGAACTGCAACAATTCTGTATTGCTAATTATAAATAATTGTCCTGGTAAATAAAAAAAAGTGACAGATGTCTGATTTGAACTACTGAATTCTGTTAGTAGCTGCAGAAATTCTTTCCAATTTTCTTTAATACTGACTAAATGTTGGTATTTTGATTGAAAGTTTTTTTCATAGTAGTGTACCTCAAAATGAAAGCTTATTGTTAAATTTATATTTTGTTGATTCGGTCTGTTACTATGATGTTGGTTACTTATATCCACATAAGTAGTATATGGGGATGGTCAGACATAGAATTTATTTTGACAGAAGAGGAAAGAACATAAATGAAGCGTAATCGGTACGAAAATGCATGAACAATGAAATCAGAGAAGATGAACTGATATTTACAGAATGAACAGTTAAGATTGATAGTTTGCAAATTAACTGTTTACTGTATGGTTACCAGAATTTGGTGAGATAGTCTGTAATTTGTGCTTAAATATATTCGATTGTTCTCACTCGTGTTCTCATTCACTATTTACTCATCGAGTAGATATGTTACATAATAACAATATTACCATTGTTTTTGTTTTCTTTTTTTTTCATAATTTTAGTGAAAGATATAATCGTCGACTTAATGGAAAATTTGAATCATCCAATGATGTTTTTCATCAAGCCGCAGCAAGATTTCGTTCAACTGAAGATATAACACGTCATTATCAATCATCTTCATCATCTACAGAAAAATTATCAATGTATAAACGTAGTTATTCCAGTGATAATGTACCATCAGATTATCATAAATTAATAGGGAATCATTCATGGGATCCAAATGATGAACCATTACTTATAGAATATTCATATGATAAAATGAATGAAAAATTAAATCAATTAATTAATATAGCTATAAAAAAACAAATGGATCTACAAACTATACCACAATTTATAGCAATGACATTAGAAAAAGAATATGGTCGTAATTGGCAAGTAATTGTTGGTCCATATAAAGTTGGTTGTGCTGTAAGCCATTTAATTGGACGATTCACTAATACACAATATGCATCATATCATGTGATTGCATTTCAAACATTGGATTTGTAAAATTGGGTTTTTTTTTCTTTTCTTTTTTTTCTTTTCATTTTTTTTTATTTTATCACTTTTTTTTATTTTTATTTTACAATTTACTTGTTCATTTTTTTTTCATTGGTAATATAGTATTTGTTTGTGTTAACGAGGTAGTGGCAACTTGAACCGATGCATAAATGTGCCTGGTCCTATGTTGTAGCTAACTGACTGACTGACTGATAGGACTTGTTTACCTTATTGTTATTGTTATCATTAATGAAAATAACTTTATTTATGTTGCAATATAACAATTTAGTTAATGTTATGGATATATATGTTCTTTCGAATAACACGAACCTTGAATGTTGATATAGAGAAAGAACTATGGAAAAATGTTATATAAGTGTTGAAATAAAAGGATAAAGGTAACTTTTTTGTAATTTATTGTTACGTTCTTGATCTGTCTACCCATTTTCGTGCCGAGTATAACTTGTCTAATGTAGATTAAGATCTTGACCCGATAGGCTTACTGGCTTAACCTTGGGGCTAGTATGGGTGAGTTCGAAGTGGGGGTAGAGAGACGAAAACTATTCTATCCTTAATTGGCTGACAAGCACACAAGAGAGAGAGAGAAGACAAAACAACTGGAACACTACTCGCTTTATTCCGATCCCGATCTGGTAACCGAATTCAGATTAGTGTAAAAAGATACATGAATAAATAGATGACTAACCTGACCACAACGTAAAATATTTAGGAAAATACAAAGTTGAAATCATGAGTCGATTGAATCTAGACCACCACGGAAAACCTGGAAGCAGTGACTGACTTCAAGATACATGTCCTGGAGTTCAAGTGGGAAGCAGTGACCAGTGGAGTTCAACCAGGTCTGTTGTGAGATAACAACTCACTGAAGACAATTGGTGAATGGTTGATCGAAATTCGTGGATCGGTTGAAGTTAGACATTAACACCGTTGAGTGCCGGCCGGCTCAGTGGTCTATCGGTTAAGTGCTCGGGTGCAAGACTGGTAGGTCCTGGGTTCGAATGTCGCGAGTGCGGGTTCGTGGATGCGTACTGCTAAGGAGTCCCATAATAGGATGAAACGGTCATCCAATGCTTCCAGGTTTTCGATTGTGGTCTAGCTTCAATTAACTCATAATCTCAACTTTATGATCTAATGGTTAAAAGTTGAGTGGTTTAAATATTAAGTCACTGTTTAACTGTAAAGGAAGGGGTAAATAAGTTCAGTAAACTAATGAAATGAATTTCAACTTAGAATAGTGTTATGTCTTAATCGTTTATTACTTAAACTTAAAAAAAAAAGAGGAGGAACCACTGCAATTCTCACGATGCGAGTAAAAACAACAAGACTGGTACAAATGAAAATTTATTAAACCCAAACCACGATGACCCTAGTCGAAAATATACTTATTTATATACTGATTGTACACCCATTTTGATTAGTAATTAGGATAAAGTCATATATATGGAAAATACCCAGAGTTATAACAAATCACATACTGTGTGTCATTCTGGGCATAGATCATATTAATTTAATACAAGTATATTGTATCTTGGACAAACACCAAACTCAAATTAATATTTTGCCGAATAAAATATCATACTGGGAAACAAAACAAATACTACACTGAGTAATTAACACATTGAATTAAAATGGAAGTAATATTGTACAAAAATCACAATGAACAAAACAATGTAATATTGATTTTTAATCCTGTCATATCACCTCCCCTTCTTTTTTCAACGAAATATGTAAGAATAAGTTTTCTTTGGAGAGTCTATCCGAAAGGTTGCTGTTCATTTTTGTAGTCTCTGCGACCTTAACCAGTTGCGTGGTTGTATTCCCGCTTTCAGTTTTGTTTTCAGATTTATTTGAAAAAATCGATTGAACCTTTTGACATATATGCTCTACTCCTTTATTCAATACATTTATGAGTCTACCTCCCCCATGAAACAATTCTGGATCTTATGAACCCACGTTGCAAATGATGTGATTTTATTGACCTGAACTGTTTTAATACTACTCTCATCTTCATTATATATGCGCATTGGGGAGAGTGGAGATACATAAACGTTGAAGGATCCTTTTATACGTTCTTGATTTGTATGAGTAATACTATGCATGGTGATTTTTTTTTACCTTTCATACGAAAAAAATACGATGTCATTATTCCATTCACATATTTTAGATTTCGACTTGTCAATAACAAAGTATGTATTTCATGTAAGCTCGCTTTGTGTATGCTTCATACTCATTAGGTGGCTGCACTCTATATTGCAACTGGACTGACTTTGAATTATTGAAACATGGTTAACCTTTTTTGTATGTGACGTTCACTTTGTCGGAATAAACAAGATTAATATCAACAGGTTCGTTGGGTATTTGTAGACCAGATTGCCAGGCGAAACGTTAGATTTAATTCAAATTCATTCGCTGAGATTTTACAAATATATTCTTCTTATTTAATGTCTTACATCAACTCGGCGCCCCAAATACTGTGATAATATTCGCTATAATTTAGACAAAAGTTCTTATATATTGAACCAACTGTTTATGTACATACACTTGAGACTTAAATCTTTTATACACATAAATGAAATACACAACAAAGATAGTATGAATTATCGAATAGAAAATAAGTAAAGAACGAAAAATCAACATTACAAAGTCAGTCAGTCAGCCAGGCACATATATGCATCGGTCCAAGTTGCCATATCTCGTTAGCACAACGAGATGAATACCGGATTCATAGAAGTAGTTAATTTAGTGGTGGTGGTAGTGTGGTGTGGTCTACTTATATCCATATAAGTAGTATATGGTGTGGGTCAGAATGTAGAATGTATTTTGGCAGAAGACCGATAAGTAAAGAACTGTAATGAAGCGCAATCGTTTGGAAAATGCATGAGCGATGGAATTAGAGAAGAAACAGTGAAGATTGAAACAATTGGTTGTTAATTTGCAAATGGACTGTTCATTGTTTGGTTATCAGAATTTACTGAGATAGTCTGTAATCTTTGCTTAAATACATTCGATTGTCCCCTATAGTGTTCTATTCACTACAGTAGTATATAAATTATAGGTTGTATATAAGGATATAGTATAGGAAGGAAAAAAGTTATGAAGCAATTCAAATCTCAAGGTTTAAGGGAAGATAAAGAGTGTATACACCTACGCTATTGTGATCGATTCTGAGCCATGTCACCCAGAGTCTTCAACCATTGGTTACGATAGTCACGCGGACCCCAATCAAGTAGTCTGCATTTGCTAATATAGCTCAGACTAGAAGTTAGTGACTTCAAACACTGATGCCACATTTTGGTTTGGCCGCCCCTAACTCTCTTCCAACCATCCCCTACACTAGTCAGCATTGCGCATCGTGGTAATCAGTGTTCAGGTATATGTAACACGTGACCCAACCATCTCAGTCGATGAAGATTCATGACCTCATCAACCGATTTACCATCATTTCGTAATACCCTATGTCTAACCTCACTATTACTTACCCTGTGATCCCAGCAATTTGTATCTAGAACAAGATAATCTATACCCTGATTGATCTCGGGTCATATAGCATAGCTTATGATGTGTCAATATGCTTAGATATTTAAGTTTCAGAGTTTCATTGTTCACTTTTATGAAGTATACAATGATAAAATGTTGAAACTTGCGAATTTCATAGTAGATTTTCATGTAATCAACAAAGACGATTACTAAAAAGGTAAAATGTATAAGGAATTCTTCAAGTATCTTCATTATATATTCATGTTTACTAGGTTTCTTAAAATTATTCCAATAATCAGTTAATATATAACATCAGAAGGGGGTTTTGTTATGTAGTAGCGAAGACATAAGTACGGGTAACTTGCAGGACCTACTATTGGACTATCATTCCTATTGTATAACTATTCGGTAACTAGATTATCTAAGCTTTATTTTGACCTATTGATTATTACTATGTGATTTACTGTCCCTATGTTATGCTCAGTTTTATTGATTATTGTCTCCCACGCTTACAGCCTCATTTGGCCTGGTTTTATACAAATATTATTTTCTATTTTATGGTGTGGTCTGCCTGTCTGGTATATAGATAAAGTATGTTTGAAATAAACGATTCGCATTACAGCAGCTGTTATTGGTGTTTTGGACTTAAGTGGACGGGTTAGGCGGATAAGGACCAATATGGACGCTAGATTACTCATATTAATCGAACGTCATTGTCACAGTGTGAAGGTCGTAGGTGTATTCTATTGGTGGATAATTTACGCGGATTACGTCCTTGTTAAATTCTTAAGGTCATAACGAATCAGCGACGACCTTGATCAAGTCGTAACAATTGGCTACCGCCTAGGTCAAAAACATAACAAATTGGCGACGGCTAGGTAAAGTCATAACAGGTTTTGTGGAGATTTTTAGTAATTTTATATAGTTGAGATCATGAGTTAGTTGAAGCTAGACCACCATGAAAAACCTGGAAGCACTGGACGGCCGTTTCGAGACAGGTAGGTCTTGGGTTCGAATCTCGCGAGGTAGGATCGTGGATGCACACTGCTGAAGAGTCCCACAATAGGAACAAACGGCCGTCCAGTGCTTCCAGGTTTTCCATGGTGGTCTAGCTTCAATTAACTCATGATCTCAACTATATAAAAAATATATAACGTAAAAACTGGATTATATATAGTATGGATTGATTTGTTTTGAAATATATGCCACTGTAAACAATGACATATATCTAGGGTCTGTAAAACTTAACTGTAATATCTACATATTCTGTCAAAGAACATTGGAAATATGACATGAATGCAAAGAATTTACCTTTATTATATCTTCTCCAAAGCCTAGTTTTCAATGTAACGGAAATACTTCATTAATAGTCATATAAAAAACTTGAACTTACGACAATATAGTGAGTCAATCAAAAGCAAAGGTGTATGTGGCATTTTAGATAATCCCAAACATTGAGAAAATTGTCAGAGTTCTGCACACTTGGATTACATGCTACTTGGCACTCTTTTGAAAGGTATATCTACAACTGCAGAAGTGGTGGAACTCTCTGTACCCATAGTTTTTGATCGTAATAATACATCATTTAATTTGAATTTCATAATTTATAAAACCAGAAACTTAATGAGAAAACAAACATAATGTCGTCTAATATCTGTTATTATTAGATGTGTAGACTGCTGTTGGTAATCCTCGTCCCTAGAATTTCTTATGATATGGAGTTATACTAAGTCAATATCCATTTTTTTAAGCGTCAGATAATCCAAGAATACAAAGGGAGAAGACAAAGATTATGTGAAAAATCTTACTTCCAAAATTTCTGATGATAGTCCCTACAATTTATACGTACGATAAGAAGCTAGGCTAATCCAGATAACGACTTGCAGGAGATAACCTGGACCTAATAAATAGTTCATTTACAAGTAATAGACTGTCAATAATTACATCTCACCTGCCATAGGCCTGTAATTTGTCTGGTTTTCCTGAACATACTGACAATTTTATGCTACGGATCAGTAGATTGATAAAAAAAGAAACTGAACTAAATATGATACCATCTCAATGAATTCCTCATGGAACTGGATTCAGACTGAATAGACTTCAGAAGACAGAACCAAAAACTAACTAATTGAGTACTTTGAATGATTATTCGGAAATTAAAACCATTATTTACGAAATATTGAGACAGTATGATGACTAAGGGTTACTTATCGAGTAACATATGGATAATGATGGATGAAAATAAAAGTCACTAACAACCGTAAATTATTTATTTCAATCATTCGTAACGACATCAACTCTAGATGTGTTCACGAAAATGTCTACCTTTAACCCTCATAACAGTGAGCATCTGGTTAGTAAGGAACTAATATGTCTTTCTGATTGAACGCTATACTCGGATCCTAATCTAGTCTTGTAACCTCCAAGCTAGAAATACACAGTGACTTGAACATGAGAGGAAAGGAGCAAAATATACGAGAAGTACTTTACTCCAAAGGTTCATTCATGTACAGAAAATATACGGTTTTTATAGTATTTTAGAAGTCCTTGGGTTTTCCTGAAGATTCTAGAATGCTACTAAACATAGTAGCAGTGTAGTAATCAGTCAATCAGAAACTCTACATGTGACTTTTCATTTTCGTGATGTTTCTAGGATAACTTCTAGTCGAACGCTGATTGGATAAAATGCTTCTTAGTGTTTCCTGAGCTTGTCATGTCTATTGCATGAAATTTTCAGGCTCGCCTCAACAGGAACAATGAAATCTATTATGCTCATGTGTTAGATAATTTATCATATTCAGGTTTTTTGTGGGAATTATTTATATTTGATGGTTATTGTCATCAACTAAAAACAATCATTGAAAACCAGGAAGTTCTAGACAATCCTTTCTTCGTAGTTTGAGGTCCGTGAGTTCCATGTATCCCAATCGTGGTGATGGGAACCTACATACGTTTTAAACTAATATGCTGGAGTTCAATGTCATATCTTTTAGATTTCCAGTTACTCAGCATTAAAGTGCGATAGTTATCTAGTGTTATCAACATTATGTCACACTCGTAACTTGGTTACACTTTACAGTTTATGGCTTCTCAACAAAAGTTCAGGAACTTGTTTGTAACCTGAAGAAAACAGCTGTCCAGTTTCTCGAATTTTTAATAGTCTCTCAGCTGATGTTATTTCATACTGAAAATTATTTATACCAATTATTTTTAATTAGGCAATCAAAATTCAGTTTGTATGGTAGATGAGAAATTAAAATATTTTCACTAAAATGCTTGTTGTGACTTTAAACCCCTCTAGTTATCACGTGATTTACTCGCCAAACGAAACACGACTTATTCAGTCTTAGTGCTGCCCCAAACCAATGACCTTCGCCCGGTATGAACAGTCTAGCCTACTTATTGGTCCTTTATTCACCTAGCCCGTCCAGTTGAATCCAGAACGCCAATAACGGCTGCCACTATGCGAACCACTTATTTCAGACACAGCTGGTTTATATACAAGCCAAACAGACCACATCACACCATAAAATAGGAAATAACATTTGTAGAAGATCTAACCAAGAAGTGGCTGTGAACGTGGGAAACTGTAATCTAGTTACTGAACATTTATACAATAGGAATATGTATATAATATTAATCCATTAGTAGATCTCAGATATTAAC